GAGTGTTTAGTTTGTTGTTTAGTTTCTAAGTGTTTGGAGACTTTCCTGTTTTCTGTTATCGATTTCTAGTTTGATTCCATTGCGGTCAGAGAATATTCTCCATATGATTTCAATTCTTTTAAATACTTTGAGGTTTATTTTATGGCCATGCATTTGGTATATCTCATTATATGCTCCATGAACATTTGAAAAGAATGTTTTATGCTGCTGTTGGGTCAAATGTTTCATAAATGTCAGTTAGGTCCTGTTGGTTGCTGAGTTCTATATTCTCTAAAGATGATAAATCTGGAGAGGTATGGACCTGGAAACAGATTGGTTGAAACTTTGTGCACAAACTGGTTGTTCTCCCCCTTTACTTTTCCTCTCATGTAATCAAATACACTGCACAGGGAGTTTGATCTCTGGATAAACTGACCCAGGAAGGATGTCCAACTGCACAAATGAAGACAGGATTGAGGCATAGGCAGTCTGAGTGAAAAACCATACCCAGAACTGTGGGCCTCTCCTAGCCCCAAACACCAGTAGCTCAGGAGACTGGACCTAGTTTCTGGTCTAAACTAAAGAGCAGAGAAGAGCGCTCCCTGGCAGTCTTCTGGTGAAAAGGCTGGCTCTAATGTCTGCCAGTTGAGGAATTTCACCTTTTTTTTTTTTTTTTTAAGATTTTATTTATTTATTTGACAGAGAGAGAGACAGCAAGAGAGGGAACACAAATAGGGGAGTGGGAGAGGGAGAAGCAGGCTTCCTGCTGAGCAGGAGCCAGATGCAGGGCTGGATCCCAGGACCCTGGGATCATGACCTGAGCCGAAGGCAGATGCCTAACAACTGAGCGACTGAGCCACCCAGGTGCCCCGAGAAATTTTATCTCTTGACTGGAGGCAAGGATTACCACACATTTCAGGAAAGTATCCCATGCAAAAGGAAGAAAAATAATTCAAGCTTTTTTGAAAAGAAATTTGATTTGGACATAAAAGACAAAAATGGACAAGAAAACTCTGAACAACTATAATTACCCTGAGAGATTGAAAATTATATTGCATCCATAAATAAGAACAGAAAGCTATGAAGAAGGAAAAATTAGGCACAACTCAGGAATAGTCCTTCCAGCAAATACAAATGCCAGGAATAAAAAACCTGAAATAGAGAAGACTGCCAAAAACCAAAAATATAAGAAAAATTCTCAGATCTGGAACCTACAGACTAAAAATCTCACCTATATCTAGCATAAAAAATATTTAAAGATCCATGCCATAAGTCATGAAATTTCAGTACACTGGGGATATAAATAGCATTAAGTACACTCTGGTTTCTCTTCAGATCGCATAAATAGCATTAAGTATTTGAATGGGAGACATAAATTACACATAGAGGAACAGAAAACATTTGGTATTAGATTTGACAACATAAGCTACCAGAAAACTTTAAAGTGATGTTTCTAAGTTTTGAATACTGGCAAAGTGTGAGAGTAGAGTTAAGACATTTCCAAACATTAAAGAACTAATTTAACACATGCATCTAAAGGAAGCTGTTGGAAAAAGAACTTTAATGAAAATGGAAAATTAACTTAATTCCAGAAAACAGTAATCCAATTCAGGAAAACAATGAAAGTAAGTTTCAGGACAACTGTAGAGTCCAACTGAAGCCCCAGATTGGTAGACTGAGAGATTCTAATGGATATTTGAACAATTGAAAAAAATCATCTGTGGACATTTAACATAAATATGGAACATTTATCTATGGAACATCTCTAAAATTTAAGAACAGGTACAAAGAAAACTAATTAAATCCTCAATAAAGAAAAAATATTGAGGTGCCTGGGTGGCTCAGTCGTTAAGTGTCTGCCTTCGGCTCAGGTCATGATCCCAGGGTCCTGGGATTGAGCCCCGCATTGCGCTCCCTGCTCAGGGGGAAGCCTGCTTCTCCCTCTCCCACTCCCCCTGCTTGTGTTCCCTCTCTTGCTGTGTCTCTCTCTGTCAGATAAATAAATAAAATCTTAAAAAAAAAAAGAAAGAAAGAAAAAATATCTAGAAAATCTACTTGGTTTTGAATATAAAATAATTTACATTATTATATAAATACCACATATTATATAAATACCACAATAATTGAGATATAACCATATTTGGATGTGGTTAAGGAGAAAGAAAAAGATGGAAGTTTTTTTGCTTTAAATGAAATCTTGATTATTACACTGGACATTTTTATTACTAAAGACATTTTTAACTACTAAAATAAAACTGATCTTTTAGCTAAAAGTGTTCAAAGAAACTTGTATTATCCAAGACTGATTGAAAACATCATTGAATTCATCCAAGATTTCATCTAGGTACAGGTAAAAAAAAATCAAAAACCTAAACTAAAAAAACCTAATCTACAGATGAATATTGCAAGTGCAGCTGCTATAAGAGGCAATAAAGTGCCCTCCTTTTGTTTTATGAAGTCCTATTAATTTCAACTTCCCGATTACATACTCCTACAATCTTATCACTCAGAAATAACAACAATAATCTTACCTCTTCCTTTCCAATATTTTTTTGCCTATAATTATTTTACTCACTTAAATGCCATAGCACCATATTCTTGAAGGCACACTTAATGGCCAAGATTCCGACCATCAAAATCCCAACACCTAGTAACATAGTGATCCATGCTGGGGAGGAAAAATTTTCCTTTGCCTTACAAGATTCTTCTGGCTGGTCTAAGAATTAAATTGACATGAGACAGATTAACAGGAGATAAATGTTTAATAACATGTATACTTCCTGTATATAAGGGAAAACTGAGTGACTCCCCCAAATGGCCAAATTACCTTAATTACCATCTTCAGCTAAAGACAAAAGAAGATGCTGCGGGTGGAGGGTCAGTTATGGGAGGTTACCAGGAAAAACATAATAAACAAGGATAAGGTTGTTATATAGATTTAAGTTCATGCCTTCTCCATTGATAACATTGATAACAGATTTAGGTACCTCTTCTTGGTAGTGAGGGAAACACCCTTACAATTGGAGATTTCCCTTATAAATGTAAATGTTTCTTTCTTTTTTTTTTTTTAAGATTTTATTTATTTGAGAGAGAGCGCACAAGTGGGATGAGGGTCAGAGGGAGAAGCAGACTCCCTGCTGAGCAGAGGCCTGATGTGGGACTTGATCCTGGACTCGAGGATCATGACCTGAGTGGAAGGCAGCTGCTTAACGACTAAGCCACCCAGGCACCCTAAATCTAAATGTTTCTTACAAAAAGTAACTTCTAGGGGCGCCTGGGTGGCTCAGTCGGTTGAGTGGCTGCCTTTGGCTCAGGTCATGATCCCAGGGTGCTGGCATCCAGCCCTGCATTGGGCTTCCTGCTCAGCGGAGAGCCTGCTTCTCCCTCTCCCTCTCCCTCTGCCTGCTGCTCTGCCTACTTGTGCTCTCTATCTCTCTGTCAAATAAATAAATAAAATCTTAAAAAAAAAAAAACTTCTACTCAGTTTTAGAGCTTCTCCTGTATTTGCAGTTTCTTAAAAATAATCAGCCTAAAATAATCCTTACGCTAAAGAGACATATTTTGGGTGGAAAATTCTGCTCCCCTATACCCACAAACATAATGTCCATGGAAAGTAAGAAGCAGAAGTGCAGGCCTATCAAAACCAAGCCAGAAATAACACACACTAGGGCTACAGGAGAGAAAAAAATTTTACCTCTACCCATTTTGGGTTTTCAGCTGGGGCTCTGTAACAAAAAAGAAAGATTAACAGAAGATGATTTATTAACATGTGTGCACATGTCATATGGGAGAAAACAAGAGTAACTCAAAAGTGGTGGCTTAGCAATCAACAAATAATAAGTTTGTAGAGAAATGATAGGATAAATTAAAGCAGTTTTAGGCTCCCAAGGGTGGCAATCTGTGAAAGGAAACTAGTGAAGGTTTATTTGCAGATTCTTTTTGGTGCCATCTATGAGCTAAGAGTCTAGAGTTGTCTCCAATAAAGGAGAATGTATACCCTTCCTTTAGGCAGAAATGGGGGAGGGCAGAGAGAGCTTTCCTGACTTTCATGCTTATAAATTGCCTTCAGTTCAAAATAATTTTTATGTCAAAAAGGTATATATTGGAGTGACATACTCTGGTTTCCTTCACAGCACAGTCACCTTCAATGATACACACAATTTGAGGTACTTCACAGTTATAAAAGAAACAGGCCCCAAATGGAGTCACTTACCCCCCATAGAACATATCAAGATTAACAATTTTAATTAATTAGCAATTGCAGTTTCAACCACTCCCAGAAATGTGACCTTTGAACAGTCCATCTAAAATTTCCTGATCAGGTAATCTGCAAAATAAGACTCTTGCCTATTCCCTTCCCTCAAAAAGATGACCTGGCCGGTACCAACCCTTTCTTTTCTTTTGCTAATAATTTCCTTGCCCCACCATCCTGCCTCTAAAACCTCCCATTCTGTAAAACTCCTGGGGATGTCTATTTATTAGTAGGGATGCTGCCCAACTCACAATAGTCAAACAAAGCCAATTAGATCTTCCGATTTACTCCGCTGACTTTCATTTTTTTAATGCCACAAACCACAGAGACTTCAGAGATCCCTAAAGCTGGCATCACAGTCAGGCATAATCACACACAGTGTTCTCTGTGGTGCCTCCCTAGTCCTGCATCCAAAGAATGGCACATATGCGGGGAAACAGCTCCAAGCAGGAAAAAACACAACCCAGTCTTTGATCACCCGCTCAGGCACTCGAGGCACCACGCCAGTACCTCAGGAAACGCCACGTGAACCATGAGCGAAGCACTGATACCAGTCAGGGTCATCGCTTCAAGCCTAAATGAAGATCTGAACAGTCCCCAAGCCGGGCGCGAGAATCCAACGTCTCTTACGGTGCCCCTTACCCTTCGCCCTATCCCCCAGCCCCCAGCGGTTGTGGCCCCAAGAGCCTCCCCCACCTCAGTAGAGTCCCGGGTTCGCCCCCCATCCTCGCGCGCCTGCGTACTCTGGACAGAATCGGCAACTCCCCGGAGCCTCAACGCTCGGCGCTCGAGGGCGGTGTTCGCGGCTCAAACGGGGGGGCGGAGCCAAGAGCCAAAAGAGGAAAGCCAGAATACACAGCTTTTGTGATTTTGGACTACAGTTCTAACAAGGGAGCAGGCTTGGATTATCCTCGGTAGCACGGGTCGCTCACAGGATCACCTTTACAGGCCTGAGGAACCCTGGCCCTGCCGGAACTCTGCTTCTCCACTCGGTCGGCTAGCGGAGGACCTGGCCCCGTTCTCCCCCGCCAGCCCTTCCTAAAGAACCGAGGCACTTGCCCCCGCCCCCTGCGCGCCTGCGCACTCGGGCCGCGGTAGGCGCGCTGGAAACCCGCAGACTTGAGGGCTCGGGGGTTTTCAGAGCCGGTGGCAGGGCGAGTACGTGGAGCCAGGCTCTGCTGTGGTCGCGGCTTTTCTGAAGGAAACGTGTACGGGAAGGGCCAGATTCTGCGGACCGGAGCGGGGGTGGGTCCTGGGGACTCGGCCTACTAGGCGATTCCTCTCGAGTTTGGAGACCCGGATGGGGTGGGTTTAAACTCGTGCGGCAATAACGGTGCGGGGCCCGGTTTGTGGGCGCGGCCTATTATGCAGTGCGAGACCCTGCGGTCCTACGCACCTCGGTCTTCTCCTCAACCATCAAGGCCCGGCCGCAGAAGGCAGTTGGAGGTGGAGCCCCAGAATAAAGGTCCGCTGCAAAACGCTGGAGCTAGATTCAGGGCTGACCTCTGAGGTCCGGAGGACCCGCTGGACAGAGGAAGACGCAGTGGGCCGTCCCACGGGGTGAGCAGTAGCGATGTCCGAACTACAGCGTACCCAGAGCTGCGAACCTGGACACGGGTGACTGCAAACCTTTCCTCGTTTGTCTCTTGTTTCCGTTTGTGCATGCCTGCGGTGGTTAGCGAGGGTCACGGGGCATGGAGGGTGGTTTCTAACCGATCAAGAAAAGCCTGGGGTGTAATGAACACTATTTGCTTCCCCAGCCCGGCCAGTCTCCAGAGAAGGCCTTTGAAGTGAAACGAATCGCTGCCGCGCCTCGGAAAGCCAGGTTCTGTGTGAGTTTGTGCTGCTTCTTTGTTTCCGTGAAATGCATTTGATTTTCAGAACACTGGGCTTTTTGATTTTCTTCCCTTGGAATGTGCTGCTTAAGAATGGTCTATTCATTGATTTGGGCCTCAAGATTTCCCTACGTAGTTAACGGCGGGGGACCTAATTAATAGGTAACACTCGCTAGTGTCCATTTAATGCAGTTCTACAGTTAGTTAATCGTATGCTATATATTCAGTTGCTTTGTGAGCACTTTTTCTTAAGGATTCTGATTATGGTAATACCCCATTTGGAAGTCAATGTTCATGCTTTGTTTTCGACTGTGGTTTGTAAGGAGTAGTTTAGGGTTTGTTTAGATACCTTCAATGATTCCAGAATAGGGATGGGGATTTTTTTCCAAGGAACTCCGTGATTGGGAATTTTTGGTACCAGCCAGATGTGGTTAAAGGTTTGGTAGCATGAGTTTGTTTTGCTTATTTTTGATAAATACAAAATGGTATATACTTAAGGTGTACAACAGGATGTTTCAGTATATGTATACATTGTGGAATGGAATGATTACCACAATCAGACCAATTAACACCCAACACCTCATAGTTACTTTTGTGTGTGGTGAGAAAAGTTACGATCTACTCTTAAATCTCAAATTTTAAGTATATAATACTGTATATAATTACTGTATATAATACAGTAACCATGCTGTACATTAGGTCTTAAGAACTTACTCTATGATTGAAAGTTTGTACCATTAGTTTGTTTGGGGTATGTTTTTCAATAGACTGAGGTATATAAGGTGTTTAAGAATTTTGAACGTAGATTAAAGGAATTTGAATCCTGCCTGCCACTTAAATCTGAGTGAGTTTGAGCAATATTTCTGGTCCCAGTTTCTTTATCTGTAAATTCAGAATTACAATAGTATATACCTCACAGTGTGGTTTTAAAGATTACCTGAATTAATATCTGTTAAGTTCTTAGAAGACTACCTGGCCCATTAGAAGAGTGCTTAACTAATATTAGCTATTGGTTTTAAATGATGATTCTTAGTCATTCCCTATCAGCTTTCTGTATTCCCAAAAGTAATGAAAATGTGAGATTAATTAGGATGGATGCTTGCAAGCAGGAAAATGAATCAGACACTCGAATGAACCAAAAGAGGGATTCTTTTTTTTTTTTTAAAGATTGTATTTATTGGGGCGCCTGGGTGGCTCAGATGGTTAAACGTCTGCCTTCGGCTCAGGTCATGGTCCCAGGGTCCTGGGATCGAGCCCCGCATCAGGCTCCCTGCTCAGTGGGAAGTCTGCTCCTCCCTCTCCCACTTCCCCCTGCTTGGTTCCTGCTCTCGCTGTGTCTCTCTCTGTCGAATAAATAAATACAATCTTTAAAAAAAAAAGATTGTATTTATTTATTAGAGAGAGAGCGTGCACGAGTGGGGAGGGGTGTGGGATGGGGGGCAGTGGGAGAAGATGACTCCCCCTGAGTGTGGAGTCTTGGGGGTGGCGAGATGGGGGGTGCTCTATCCCAGGACCCTGAGACCATGACCTGAGCCAAAATCAGATGCTTAACCCACTGAGCCACCCAGGTACCCCCCAAAAGAGGGATTCTTAACATGAAGTCTTTGGACTCTGTTATGGGTTTTCAGGACAACAAAAATCTAAGATTATGTACAAGATTGTTGTATATATTTGTCAGCGGGTAATTTGGTGGGGAGGAAGTCTATCATTTCATGATATTATCAAAGTTGTGTAAGACCCAACAAGATTGATTCTTACAAGTGTAGAATAAAAGTATGGGATAACTAGGAATGACTTTTGGGATAATCTTTTATAAAAGTAGTATCCAGCAATATGGAAATGATTAAGTAACTTACATTCCATCCATGTGATGGAATGTGAGTTACTTAATCACACAGGTGATTAATCCATCACATGGATTCCATCCATCCATGTGATGGAATGTTATGCAATACTAAAAATTATGTTTATTAGTAATTTAGTCATCAGGAAAATATGTATGTATATAATGTAATATTGAGAAATATTTATTATGAATAAAAATCTTTAAGAAATTGTTAAGTTACAGAACCATGAGAGACTATGGACTCTGAGAAAAAACTGAGGGAGGTGGGGGGATGGGTTAGCCTGGTGATGGGTATTAAAGAGGGCGGCACATATTGAATGGAGCACTGGGTGTTATACGCAAACAATGAATCGTGGAACACTACATTAAAAACTAATGATGTAATGTATGGTGATTAATATAACATAATAAAATTAAAAAAAAAGAAATTGTTTAATTACATATGTATCTTGAACACAATTTATAAGATGCATTGCAAGGATTTAATAACTGGTGTATTCACTGGAGCCCAGGAGGGTTAAGCTCAAGTTATTGAGCAGCTGCTCTGAAATAAGCATTTCTTTTTCTGTCTCGTAATCACTTTGGAAAAGCACTGTGATCCTTCACAGAAGGATCTCAGGTTTGATGAGATACAATATTCAAGAATTGGTAGGAATTATTTTTTCAGTCACATTGATTTCCTGGTTGTTACCACTTATGTAGGCCTATTTAATCACAATTTTCTTAATGACTACAAGGTACCCCATTCTCCCAACTCATTAAAAAATTCTTTTTAATGGGAATGGCTTTTTAAAACAATATTTCTGATGGAGTTAATGCAGGCTTGTGAAATAATAAGTAACTAAGGGACCTAAAAGAGAAGAAATTAAAATTATCCATTGTCTCAACATCCAAAAATAATCACTATTAATATTTGTAGCATATTTTCCCAAAATATTTCTACAAGTATATGTATTTTTGTATGTGGTTTTATTTCTGAATATGGGATAACCCTAATTGAAAATTTAAAAGAAATCAAGACCTCTAGTTATTAGTTTAAAAGAGACATTCAGTATCCTCATGGATTTTATAATCATGGATGTATGGAGAAAGGCAAAATCCCAGCAGTCCCCTTCTTGTTTGAGAAATCTTCCAAGTAATTATAATTCTTACGATAGAAATGGCATTTAAATTGGGAGACTTAATTATAATTTAAAATTAATTTTAAAATGTCAGAATTGAAATATGGAGATTTTCCCCCCATCTACTGATGTCCATTTCACATTAATGATTTAAAACAACTAATTATATTATATATTGTTTTATAAACTGATTTTTTTTTCTTTCAGTGTATCTTGAATACTTTCTATTCCTTAACTGTTTTCTAGAACTTAGCAATTCATAATTACTTTAGTATTCAGTATTTTATGGATGTTTTATAAATCATTTAAGAAATCAGCTTTTGGGCAGTAATATTCAAACTGCCTGAGCAATTCCTTTGACAGGCTTTCTGTGTGATATTACTTACCTTACTTTTCACTTCATGGTCATGTAGGATTTCAGAGAGAGGAACACTAAGGAATATGGCATTGATTTTTACCAGGTGGGTTACAGGTGATACTCTGAAGTGTTTGGCTGAATTTCCAAAGGATTCTTACAGTATGAAATAGACCACTGTGCTATTTTATGCCAAAAGCTTCATTCATCCTCCTGATCCTTTATTTGGGTGAGAGTTTGAGAAATGAATTAATGATAATTTCCTAGAAAACTAAGCTTACAAAAAACAAAATTATTTTAACCTCAGCAAAGAATGACTAAAACTAAAAATTCAGAAGTAGTAATATCAGCATGCTAAATGTATGGAGTTTAAATACCAAAAGAAATAGCTAAGAGAGGTGGATCTCTAGATTTGGAAGCTAGGGAAAGGATAGCAAGGATGGAACTTTCGGGGCTTTTTGTAATACAGTATTCCCTTGCAGAGCTTTTTTAAATTTATGTCCAGGTATAAGTGATATAAACTTTTAGAGAACAAGATAAAGATCACCTGGGATATCATCATCAAGGTAATGCAATAAAATTTTATTCTAACTCCATTCACAGACTGTTTCATAAACCTGCATATACATGTATGTGTATGTATGTAGTTTTCCTGTCAAACATACAATCACAGTACAAAACTATTTACTAACCTACCTTCTCCCAGCAATCTGTAGTGACCATCTTTCCAAGACATCAATTAAGAATTTTACCGTCATTTTTAGTGTTTTTTTAATTAAAAAGTTATTTTTTAATTTTTTTAAAGATTTTATTTATTTATTTGAGACAGAGAGAATGAGAGAGAGAGAGCACATGAGAGGGGGGAGGGTCAGAGGGAGAAGCAGGCTCCCTGCCTGCCGAGCAGGGAGCCTGATGCGGGACTCGATCCAGGGACTCCAGGATCATGACCTGAGCCGAAAGCAGTCGCTTAACCAACTGAGCCACCCAGGCGCCCTAAAAAGTTATTTTTTTAGTAACCTCTACATTCAATGTGGGGCTTGAACTCATGACCTTGAGATTAAGAGTCACATGCTCTTCCAACTGAGCCAGCCAGACACCCCCATTTTTAGTGGGTTTTTAGTGCCATTGTGTGAATACACGATAATTTACTTAACCTGCTAAAGGATATTTAGGTTCTTTCTAGCTTTTTTTGTCCCATTATAAACACCTTCCAACATTTTTTCATTCTTTCTACAACATACCATGAGTGTCCATTTCTGTACAACCTTAGTAATAAGAAGTATTATCAGTTTTTCAAATCTGTCAATCCAGTTCCTTTAATATGCATTTCCTTGGTTACTAGTGAGTTTTGTTTTGTTTTTTTAAAGATTTTATTTATTTATTTGAGAGAAAGAGTGAGAGAGAGAAAGAGCACAAGAAGGGGGAGCGGGAGAGGGAGAAGCAGACTCCCTGCCGAGCAGGGACCCCGATGCAGGACTCGATCCCAGGACTCCAGGATCATGACCCGAGCCGAAGGCAGTCGCTTAACCAACTGAGCCACCCAGGCACCCAGTTAGTAGTGAGTTTTAACTAATGAGTTATTTCTACTTTCTAGAGAGTTAGTCATGCTCAGGTTTCACGAATTCACTTCTTCCAGCCTGAGTACCAAGAGAGATGGGTTGATAACTGAGATTGTGCAGGCAGTACTGATGATTCTGAACAGGCAAATGGTGACTGGTGAGCTCTGAGGGTGGTAGTTCACCCTTCCCCCAAGAAGGGATCCCAGTGTGCAAGTATAGTTTTTCCATGATAAAGGCTGCTAGCGTGGTCTATGCAGGTAGTTCTCAAATTGTGTCATTTGGACCAGCAACATCAAGTATCACTTGGGAACTTTTTAGAACTGCAAATTCTCAAGCCCAACTCCAAACCTCTACGAAATGCCAAACTCTAAGAGTGAGGCCCTGCAAACTTTTAATAAGCCCTCCAGGTGATTCTGATGTACACAAAGTTTAATTACCAAACTTTGTTGCCCCTTATGATGACCTGTCAGAAATTTTATAAAATCTGAGGGGGATTTAAAATCGTGATTCTCAGGTCACACTCTGTACTAATGAAATAAAAATGTTTGGGGGATGGGAGCCAGGTATCAGTATATTTTAAAGATCTGCAGGCAATTCCAGTATCTAGCAAAGTTTGGGAAATTCTTATCCATAGTATTTTCTGTTTTCAGGTTTAGGGAGGCCAGCCACATTCCTGAGTCTTAGAAAGAAGTTCTGGGTCAGATGATGTAACAACCATTTCTCAGCTGGGAAAGTGGGAATGGAGGGAGATGGATCTGCTCATGACAGGCCTGGGCAGCCCATGCTCAGGTCCAACTCAGCCTCGCTGGGGTAGGGGACTCACTGGAAACCCTCCTGCTAAAGTGTCTGGACATGAGCTTCCATGCAAGTCTCTGCTCTGTGTCTGTCCTTGTGCAACTGATTTTCCTGTGGTTTTGAGGAGGACATATATTTTTTCTAAACTACCTCCTACCTCTCACTGTCTGTGTGTTGGAGGGGGGAGGAGTGTAGGAAGGGAGAAGTAGTGTGACATTTTAAAATTTGGGAGTTCTGAGGCAATTTCGTTCTTATGGCTTTATCTTCTTCCCCCAGCTCTAGCTTCTGTGGACTCTACTTCTCCAGCAAATGACCTTTGAGGAAAACTGACCAGTTTTTACAATCTAAAATCATGGCTCATGTAAGTTGGTGTTTCTGTTTGAAGGGCTGTAATTTTTTTCAGGTTATATGACAACTCTCGTTAGATATCCTGAAACTTCCTAACAGAACCCCATCCGACAGCTTCTCCCCAGTCTTTCCCATTCTAGTAAGGGATGGAACCAGGCAGCCCAGGCCCCCATGTACCTCACTCTTTTCTACCCATGTCCATGTGTCTATTGACCAAATTACTCAGTGTATTGACTGTGTGTTCAGTCTTTGTCTAGAGCAGAGATAAAACAGAAGTAAAGTCCCTAGAGGGAATTGTTTGATCTGAGGCTCTTAGAGCAACACCGTCTAAAAGAATTATAATGTGAGCTACCTATGTAATTAAAAATTTTCTAGAAGTTGCATATTTAAAATATAGAATTAGTGCCTTCTTAAAGGCAGTAGGCAGCATGTAAGTCTCATAAAAAGTATAGAATAATATGCAAGGCACTTACATAATCTTGAACTTTTTCGTAGTAACATTAAAAAAGTAAAAAATAACACATGCAGTTAGTTTTTTTTCTTTTTTTTTAAAGATTTTATTTATTTATTTATTTGAGAGAGAGAGAGAAACAGCATGAGAGGGGACAGGGTCAGAGGGTGAAGCAGGCTCTCCGCCGAGCTGGGAGCCTGATGTGGGACTCGATCCCAGGACTCCGGGATCATGACCTGAGCCGAAGGCAGTCGCTTAACCAACTGAGCCACCCAGGCGCCCACATGCAGTTAGTTTTAATGTTTTATTTAACTCAATATAGCACATATATATATACCCAAAATGTTATCGTTTCAAAGTGTAATCAATATAGAAATTATTGAGATGTTTTACTTTTTTTTTCTTTCTAAAGTTTTTTATATCTGGTATGTATTTTTGAATTACAGCACACCTAAATTTGGACTAGCCACAATTTAAGTGCTCAGTCATCACGTGTCTAAGCCAGCATATTGGACATTGCAGCTTCAGAGATTTTGTGTAACCTGAATTCTAAATGTAACTTAATATATTTAAAAATATAGAAATACCTAAATGTAATCATTCCTAAGTCTAACACAAATGGACTATTTTTTAGTAAATTAAAAATATTCAGTAAAGTATTTGTTATAATAAAGAAAAATGCTAATGATATAGTGATGAAGTCAGGTCTGGAAGAAATTCTTTAATTTTATATAAACTACTTTTTAAAAACAGAGATTTTATGGTTCATTTGGAGTAAAAGAAATCCATCAGTTTTTTTTTTTTTTTCCTAATCCTTAAAGGAAAAGAGGTTAGAATAAAGCACATTTATTGAGAATTTTTTTATGGGCCCACTTAGGCCCTTTGCGAGCAGTGTTCTTATGAACACTATTTCAGTTAATTGTGAAATTCTGATTATGTGAACATACCTAGAAATAAGTAAAATTAGGTATTCCATGGTACACAGGAAGTTTTTTCTTTAGCAGTGGTTGGCAAACTACAGCTTGTGAGCCAGATTCGTCCCTTGGCCTGTTTTTTCCAGCCTTTGAGTTAATTATGTTTTGAAAGAATTGTTTTAAAAAGGAAGGGAAAAGGGAAGGATATGAAACAGATCATATGTGGCATGCAAAGCTTAAATATTGGCCCTTGAAGAGAAATAAATAATTTTAGAAATAATACATGGGTTTGTCATTTCAGCATTTGGTGATGTTCAGAGATGTGGCTGTAGACTTTTCTCAGGAAGAGTGGGAATGCCTGAACTCATATCAGAGGAATTTATACAGAGATGTGATATTAGAGAACTATAGCAACTTGGTGTCAGTGGGTAAGCTTATCTGTGTCATATAATTTAGAAATTCACAGGGCTGAATTTCATGGCTGTCTTTCTAGAAATTAGCTGAATATCTGCTTTGTAGTTGGGAATAGGCACCTTATAGCTATTAAGCAATTAAGTAGCACCTTTAGCTTCCCCCATAATCCAGTGACCTTTATGTCTTTCTGTACCTTTTCTGTAATTGCTCCTCTTTAATGACAGCTAGATATAAATTCTTAGACACTCACAGCAAAACCATTGTTAAAGAAATCTGGTTTCTTATTGCTATACATGGCGTATTATCTGTTAGTTTACTTGCAATGTGAGTAGGAAGACTATAGAGGTGTCTAGCTCCACATATCTATTTTAAAAGCTTATACAACGTATATGTTGCTGGGTTGAATCAACAGTTTGTTAAAACTCAAGTCGACACATTGAATTTACCGCAGCAGACATACTACCTTTTAATTGATTTATGATTAAAAGTTTAAAATACATGAATTTTGCATTTAATATTGGATGTATATCCTGGTTAGAAACTATTTTTCTTTTAGCAAAATAGCAAAATACCTAATAAAAGTATCTAATAAGTATGTATATAGTGTTTACTATGTACTAAGCACTCATCCAAGCACTTAACATTTATAAAATCAAACCTCACAGCAGTCCAATGGATAGATATAATACCTCCTTTTTACTGCTGAGAAAACTGAGGCCATAGCAACCCAGGTGGTAGAGGCAGGATTTGAAACCAGTGTTCTCAAATCATTACTTCCTCAAAAAAAAAAAAAACAAAACCCAAAACAAAACCCAAAATCATTACTTCCTCTCAAGAAAGAGACTCTCTGTGAGTTTAAATTAAAATAAGACAATGTTCCTACTCCTCTGTTCTTTTTATTCTTTGTGATCCTGAAGTAACACTAATATGAATGTTTTTCAATCCCATTACTCCTCTTTGTTCTGAAGGCTCTATCAAGTTAATTCTTTCTTTATTATGTACCATTATGTTTTTTCAAGCAGGATGTTCCATTTCTAAGCCAGATGTGATTACCCTACTAGAGCAAGGGAAAGAACCCTGGATGGTTGTGAGGGATGAGAGAAGAAGAAGGAGCCTAGGTGAGTAAGTGCTAATCAGGCAGAGATGTGTGGTTATCTGTGTCTGCAGGCATAGCCTGCTGGTTGGGAAGGTAACACACCCCATAGATGTTGATAATGAAGAGAAAACCTGAAACCTGGGAAGAAAACTTAGATCTCAGCATGAGCCAGCAAAGAAATTTCATCTATACTTCCACTTACCACTTGTTTCTTCACTCCTCTATCTCCCTGTCATTTCAGTGGGGGGAAACTTCATAATGGCAACCATTTTACCTGTATTTTGGATCTAATTCATTTCTGGTTCATCTTTTATATATATATATTTCTCCATTGTTCTCTTTTCATGAAGTTTACATTGTAGTAAGGAAGTCATACAATACACAAATAAGCAAATGGATTAACAAATATCGTGAAATGATTAAGTTATGAAGAAATGTAAGTAGGGTAAGAATATGGAGAATTATGATGGATGAATGGAGTAACTTTAGATAAGGTGATCAGAGAAGAGGAACTAGTTGTAGGAAGCTCCAGCTAGTCAAAGATGGAATCATTTGACTATACACATAACTGCAATGTATTGTAACACATAAAATATGCTTAATTCCATAAATTCTTAGTGATACTAATAGCAAATTGTTCACCATTAGAAACTACTAGAGATTTAACTTATTTGGGAAATATAAAGGAAAAGAAGTATTCTTTATAAGAAGTATTTTTTATAAGAACTGTACCAATATTAGATAGAGGGATGTTTTTCTTAATAAAAGTATTCAGTGAATAAATGAAAGATGACAGAATTAGAATATTACCATTTTGGAACCCATAATGAACAACTGGATCTGGGCATTAAACATCAAATTAAACATTAAACTAACAACATCACAGAAATAGAGAAAATCAGACGTATTTCTTCTAATGAAAGGATACAGTATCACCTCTGAAGTAACTTTGCCAATAAAATTGGTCCTAAGTCTGATGAAGTTTCTAAAGCCAACTACCAATTTATGGGAAGAAGAAAGAGGAACATATGTTCTACTGCACCTTGGGATTATAGTCAGCAAAATTAAGAAATGGGCAACGCTATAGGGTCAAAAAACAGTTTCTTCAACAAATAAATTACAAGGGAAATCAAAAGAAAGCAAGAAAACCTTTAGATTAAAAGACATATAAAAGACCTGTCAGCCATTTGTACTCTATGGACTTTTTGGGGGGATCAATTTACTGTTTTTAAATTGTTTAAAATTTTATGTTTGAGATTAGAAGTATAAACACTTATTTTTTATAATCTTAAAGAATTACTGTTCATTTTTTTAAAGGTTTGAATAATGGTATTATGATTAGAGATAAGTCCTTTAAGTAGAAAAAATTAGTATATGGGGTTTGCTTCAAATAATGTGAGGAAAGTGGATTGGGGTGTGCATAGGCCTGGATTGGGCACGGGTTGGTGGTGGTTGAGGCTGGGTCATAGACGCATGGATATTCATTATACTGTTCTACTTTTGTGTATTAGAGATACTCTGTAGTAAAGTTTTATTTTAAAGTTATTGGGAGATAAAAGGATAAGAAAATGAGAGGTGAGACAGTGGTGAAAATAAGTATATACAAGTCTTGGAGAAATTGTGCCATAAAAGCAGACACATGGGATACAGGAAATGCCTTTAAAATGTGAGGTATTAGAACATATTTATATGTTGATGGGAATGATTTCAAAGAGAGGAAAATTGATGGAGTAGAGAGATGGGATAATTTTGTAAGGAATGGCCTTCAGTAGATGGGAAGGAGTCGGAGCCAATTTAGGAAGAAAACCCATGCATATGACAAGGATATGGACACAGGTTGGTTGAATAATGGGAAGGGGAGAATACATATTTTTCTTTCAAATGCTTCTGATTTCTTGTTGAAATAAAGAGTAAGATTATCAGCAGAGTGTGAGGATTATTTAGCATTTTATTGGAATTCATTACGGATTATTCAGTATGTAGTCAGTATTGATTCTCAGAAATACAACTCTGTGGTCATAGGGTTTTAATATTTACAGATTTCTTAATACATTAACCCTGGTGTTAATGTGACTAAAACTGCCTCTGTCATAAATATGTATCCCATATCATCTTGTATCAACAAAAGAAAAAAGGTGATTAAAGACATCATACCTTAGGAAACGAATTAATTTTGTGACCAGGTAATATTCTCATTTTCTTTTTAATGAAAGCTGATACCCTGCAAATGGAAATAACATTTCTCCTTTTATATTGATCTAAGAGGGGCTAATATTTTGCTTGCACATTAGCATTTTTTACTAAAGTTCTTGATTCAGTAGAATCCAAACTAGTGTTTGGTTTATTAATTTTAAATGGTTACATATTTTACATATATCTTAAAAGTTGTAACATTAACATTTCTTACCATAGGCCAATCTTTTGATACTTAGTTTGGCCTTTTGTTTCATTGTAGGTCCAGCCAATTCCTTCTTGATTAGATCACAAATATAATGGGAAGGCTATTATTTCTAGTTTCAGTTTAAAGTAGAACAAGAACCTGAAGTATTCAATGTTGTTTTTATAGAAATGATTGTCTTAGTTGCTTGCAGTGATAAGAATTGGCATAAACAAATTTGGGAACAAATATGGCTGACTTTTTGTTTATACGGATCATAAGATTACAGCTCAGTGTTCATGCTGTAGTCTCCTAGGTGAGAATATTCAAAATGCAAGGTCTTAATCTGGCATATCTTTTAAGTGGCAGGGGCATATATGAGAGTGTCAGGTTCATTATATCCACATTGGGAATGTTTTGTTTTTGAATGGAAACCTCTACGTTTTATAGGATGAGTTTTTTTATTTTTTAAAGATTTTATTTTTAAGTAATCTCTCTACCCAATTTGGGGCTCAAACTTAAAACCCCGAGATCAAGAGTCACATGCTTCACCAACTGAGCCAGCCTGGGTCCCCTATAGGATGAATTTTATAACTTGTTCTACTTTGTGGGTTTTGTGTGTGTGTGTGTGTGTGTGTGTGAGAGAGAGAGGGTGAATATGGACATTTTATCTTATTTTTGTGTATATTTATATTTGTTTTGCTCATTTTCTGCTCATCTCCTTTATTACTGTTTTCATTGTTTAATGTTTCTTACATCAATTTGTATGGGCATTTATGCTGTCAACACTTTCTCATTTTTCTTGCAGATGTTTCAGCTTTATTTTTATTTTGACCATGACTTTTCCTTTTTTATGTTTTTTTTAATGACTTTCCTTTTACATTACTGGTCTTTACTTTTTAATTTACAAGTAAATCCTTTGAAATTACCATCTTATAACCTTTGTCCTACCTTTATGGCTGCCTACTTATTTGCTGTCATTATTATTTGGCTAATTACTGGTCATTTAATATATCATTTCCATCTTATTTGTGTTAAGCCTTAAATTGACTTTTTCCTGAAGATCCTTACAAAGTAGCCAAAGTTTTTTATTGCTTTCTTAGGTAGGGAAATGGAAACAGAGAGAAAGGGGAAGAGAGAGAAAGGGAAAGCGGGAGGAAAGAGGGAACTAAGGGGAAAAGGAAATACTCATTTACCTGTCTCTGCTCATATTTTATATACACTGTTTAAATCATTATTGCCTTTTAATGTTTTTAACATATCCTTTTTTTTTTTTTTTAAGAGAGAGAGCATGTGCATGTGGTTGGGGTGGGGAAGGGCAGAGGGAGAGAGAGAATCTTAAGCAAGCTCCATGTTCAGTGCAGAGCCTGACACAGGGCTTGAGCTCACAACCCTGAGATCATGACCTAAGCTGAAATCAAGAGTCAGACGCTTAACCGACTAAGCCACCCAAGCGCCCCAGTATATCCTTTTCTAAACAAACTTATTGAAACATAAATACATACCAAAAAACCTGAAATCATAAGCAAACAGCTTACTGAATTTTCACAAAGTAATCACACCCATCTGACTAGCACAGAAATAGAGGTTTGCTAGGATATTAGAAGATCCCTCCTAATTCCTTCCAGTCTTTCCTCCCCACCAAAATTAACCACTATCCTGACTTTTTTTTTTTCTTTAAGATTTTATTTATTTATTTGACAGAGAGACAGCGAGAGAGGGAACACAAGTAGTGGGAGAGGGAGAAGCAGGCTTCCCGCCGAGCAGGGAGCCTGATGCGGGGCTCGATCCCAGGACCCTGGGATCATGACCTGAGCCGAAGGCAGAAGCTTAACGACTGAGCCACGCAGGCGCCCCAATCACTATCCTGACTTTTAACAGCTTTTTACCATTTTCACACTTCATAAAAATGGAACTATACAGTATATATTCTTTCATGTTTGTCTTTGTTTACTCATCATTATGTTTGTGAGATTGATCTGTGCTGTTGCATGTACTTGTAGATTACTCATTTTCATTGCTATACAGTATTGTGTTGTGACAATATGTTTTAATTTGCATAGTAATTCTGATGAACATTTGGATTCTTTCCAGTTTGGGCATATTAAAAATAATGTTCCTGTATTACAGGTTCTTAAAAATACCATTTTCTTTTTGAAAAGTAGTGAACTCTTATTGTAAAAATTTTGAGAAAATATACATTTGAGAAAAATCTCTTTGCTCAGAATTTTATTAGCTTGTTACTATGATATAAACTCATTATTATGCCTGAAAAATCACTAAAATACTCCCTAGGTAGAACCTAAATGGCATTGGCTTTGAGGACTTTTGGGAGAATATAGAGAAGGGTATGAAGGAACAACAGGTTGAGTATTTGTAACATAGATGTGTGTAGTTATATAAACTGAAATAAAGATACTAAGTAGAACCTCTCACTACCTTGTGCAAACAGAGTTTACTCATGACTATGCAAAGTAGAAAATGAGCTGTAGTGGAGATACCTAAGTGAAAGTAGACAATAGGAAAGATAATCACTTGTAAAGAAATCACCATTTTTCATTTATATATTTGAGATAGCTTAGATGTGCTTTTGTTTCCCATCTGTATAGGAAGTAATAAAAAATATTTAATCAGTGTAATAAGGTATAAGATTAGCAGCAAGGGAACATATGCAAAAAATGTTAACTAATTATGAGAATTTAATAATTAATAGTTACTATATGCCATGGGTTTGTTATTCAGTGATAAATGAATTGTTTCTGCCCTTGGGAAAGTTTAAGGTAAGAAAATAAAGAGAATAAAAAAATAGGAGGGTGCCTGGGTGGCTCAGTTGGTTGGGCGACTGCCTTCGGCTCAGGTCATGATCCTGGAGTCCCGGGATCGAGTCCCGCATCAGGCTCCCTGCTCAGCGGGGAGTCTGCTTCTCCCTCTCCCGCTCCCCCCTCCTGTGCTCTGTCTCTAAAATAAATAAATAAAATCTTTAAAAAAAAATAGGAAAATTTATGAATATGTATGTAACAACAATATTGAAAAAGTGTTAAGAAACAAGGAACAGATTACTTGGATAGAAAGTAAAGGATATAAATTAGATGAAGTCAGCATGGGTCTGATTTTTAACATGGTACCTAAAGGATGAAAGGAACCCAACTATGTAGAGAATGCAAGTTGGCAGTTCTGGGAGATTTAATAGCCAGTGAAAAGTGCTAAGAAATGGAAAGATTATTACATATTCTAGGAGCTGAAGGGAGGTTAGTGGGATAGGAATATAGGGAACAAAGGGGACAATGACTTGAGATGATATGGTAAACAAAAGCCATGTTATTCATGGTAAGATGTTTGTACATTATTCTGATTAAAAGGAGTAATCATTTAAAAATTTAAATGAAGATTCTCAGACTTTGATCTGCACCCAAATACATGATTACTTTAGAGATTTTTAGCTCATTTACTTCAACTGAGCTTTATTTTCTATCGTTTTTTTTCTATTATAAAGTTTTTATTTGCTGGTTTACTTTTTCTAGAATAAGAAGATAGCATGTATTTATCTTGTTTTCTTTCAGATTTAGAATCCAGATATGACACTAAAAAGTTATTTCAAGAAAAGGATATTTATGAAATGAATTTATCTCAGTGGGAGATAATGAGAAGAATTAGAAGTTGTGGCCTTGAAGACTCCTTTATCAGAAAAGATTATAAATATAAAAAGTTTGAGGGACAAGAAGGTCCTCAAGAGGGATATTTCAGGCAAGTGAAAAAAATGCCCAGTTACAGAAAACTCACATCTCTTACTCTGTATCAGAGAATTCATAATAGAGAGAAACCCTACGAATGTGGGGACTGTGGGAAGGCCTTTAGAGTGCGCCAACAACTTACTTTCCATCAGAGAATTCACACTGGTGAAAAACCCTATGAATGTAAAGAATGTGGAAAAGCCTTTAGACAGTGTGCCCACCTTAGTCGACATCAGAGAATTCATACTTCTGACAAACTCCTCGAATGTAAAAAATGTGGAAAGATCTTTACATGTGGTGCAGATCTTCGAGTACATCAGAGAACTCATATTGGTGAGAAGCCCTATGAATGTAAGGAATGTGGGAAGGCCTTTAGAGTGCGAGGACAACTTAATCTCCATCAAAGGATTCATACTGGTGAGAAACCCTATGAATGTAAGGAATGTGGGAAGACCTTTAGACAGTATGCACACCTTACACGACATCAGAGACTTAATATTGCTGAGAAGTGCTATGAATGTAAGGACTGTGGGCAGGCTTTTTTGTGTAGTACAGGCCTCAGAGTACATCACAAACTTCATACTGGTGAAAAACCCTATGAATGTAAGGAATGTGGAAAGGCCTTCAGAGTGAGACAACAACTCACTCTCCATCAGAGAATCCATACTGGTGAGAAACCCTATGATTGTAAAGAATGTGGGAAGACCTTTAGTCGTGGTTATCATCTGACCCTCCATCAGAGAATTCATACTGGTGAGAAACCTTATGAATGTAAGGAATGTCAAAAGTTCTTCCGTCGTTACTCAGAACTTATTTCACATCAGGGTATTCATATTGGAGAGAAACCCTATGATTGTAAGGAATGTGGGAAGACCTTTAGACTGTTCTCACAACTTACTCAACATCAGAGTATTCATTTTGGTGAGAAACCTTATAAATGTAAGGAATGTGAGAAGACTTTTAGACTGCTATCACAACTTACTCAACATCAGAGTATTCATACTGGTGAGAAACCCTATGACTGTAAGGAATGTGGAAAGGCCTTTAGACTTCATTCATCCCTTATTCAACATCAGAGAATTCATTCTGGTGAAAAACCGTACAAATGTAAGGAATGTAAAAAAGCATTTAGACAACATTCCCATCTTACCTACCATCAGCGAATTCATAATGTAACTAAATAATTATAGGAAAGCCTTCCACTGTGAATTTTGTGTTAAGGGGCATTAAAAGATAAATTCTAGGGGAAGTTTTTGAATATAGGAATCCCTTTTGCTTCATGCTTACAGCTAAGCTAAATAAGAGGTTTTATTTGAAGGAAAGGATATATTAATTTCATGAATTTATAGAAGCCTTTCCTCAGCATTAAAAACCATGTTAAACTTCAGGAAACTTGTTCTAGAAAGAAACTCTTAAAGGAGTAAATATAGAAGAGCTTTTGATCTTATTATATCACCTCTATCTTCCCATCTTCTTCCCATCTGTATAATATACATACGGAGGTTGCTAGGACACTACTCATTCCAAAAATGATAATTGAAAGGAAAGTCATTTAGCCTGCATTTCCTATTGAACTGTATTTTAGGGCAACTAGAAGTTGATGAGTTAAAGTTCTTTTGTTAGAGTTTTGCAGCACACAATGAAATAATGGATCTAGGCACAATTCTCAGTAAAGGTTAAGACCAGTGTAGGTACCCACTGATCGATTTTAATCTCATGAAAAATAGGAAAAAACACCTTGTGCCCCCTAATGTGTTACAATAAGGCTTATGCATCTTGCCCAAAAATATTGAACCTGAATCTAAGCATCAAGATCTAACTTCCACTTTAGAGAAAATTTAGGGAACAGAAGAACATGACACAAGAAGCAGTTAAACTAATCTAAAATGTGGGTAATTCTACAAGAGGAATAACCTGGGTTCTCAAACAATAAAATGGCACTGAAAAAGGGGAGGCGGAACTCTCAGATATTAAGAGAGTCTGAAGAAATGCATACCAATCAAATGCAATGAATTAGATTCACAAGTTGAACAAACATGTAAAAAGGACATTTTTATGACAATTAGGGAAATGGGAGTATTGACAGTATTAGATAATATTTAAAAATTATGTTTTTGTTAGGTGTGATAATAGCATCGTGGTTATGTAAAAAGGTAAGTTTATACACAAGATGATAATGATGTCTGGAACTTTTTAAAAATGCTCATGCAAAAGGAAAATAAGGATGGATACAAAGTAATGGTAAGATGAGTCTTGGGTACATGGTTTTTGTTTATTTTGTTTTTGCTATTTTCTCTACTTTTATGTATTTCAGTTTTCCCGTAATATTATTTTAAAGGTAAAATTAGCTATGGAATTATAACCCAATTGAAGTAAATGATTTTTTTTAAATGACTACATATCAAAATTTGTGGATGTTGTCAAAGCTCTGCACATTGGGATATTAAATATGCTATACCATATTTGGGAAATAAAAATCGAGGGTCCAGATTTTATCTAGTTCACCTATTGCTACCTCTGTTATCATGCCTGTCCCACAGTACTTCATATGTTTAAAGAATGAGTTTAAAAAGCAATTACTACAACCAAATATGGAAATTAATGGAATAGACCTTCATTGTCTAATAAGATAGTTGCCAGCAGTATGTTGAGCACTCAAAATTGAGCACTTGAATTGTGGCTAGTTCGAATTAAAATGGTGGTAAGTGTAAAATACACATGAGGTTTTGAAGATTTAGTTTTTTTAAAAGAATGTAATATAATCTGTTTCTCCCAACATTTCTCTGCTGTGATACTCAGTGGGTTGCATTATTACATAATACAGAACCCAATTTCAGTGTCTTTCTGCTCCCAAGTAGCATGTTTGAATACTGAGGTCTTGGTTCTACCCTGAGTCATGCTTCCCGCCCCTCTCATGAAACACAGGTAACCTGTGTTTGCAGCTGAGTAGTTTTCTCAGACTGTTTTTAGCTCGTAGATGTTTTGGGATCCCAAGGCCCTTTCACCCTGTACTACGTCTGTCCCATTAAGTTCAAGCTTGCAATGCTGCAAGTAGTACACTTGTCTTAAAAACTGTATTTTCAACGAATTTTATTAGGGTTCACTCAGACAAAAGATCAACAGGCTTTTTTCTCTGTATTGGGCTCCCTATGAGGCTGCTGTGGAAAAATGACTGAAATTCTTAGAAGCCCTGTTGTATCACAGAAAGGATAATAACGTTCATCCTTATTCTGAGACTACATTTGGAGGACAGTACCATATATTTGATTTTTTTTTCCCTCTCAGGCCCAATCATAACTTTGAAAACACTTTGCTATCTGGAAACACTGCCATGGAACCCTTTATATATCCTTGAAATTCTACTTGAAATATGCACCAGTTGATATAATGAGTAAAATGTGATTTTTCTCTTTTCCTCTGTTACGATGGATTATCTTCAATGAATTTCCAAATATTGACCAAGCCTTACATCACTGGAATAAACTCCATTTGTTTGTAGTGCATACTTCACATATATGTAGTGCATAAATATATTGCTGGATTTGCTGTGACTGCTATGATGTGCTAATATTTTGTTGAGGTTTTTTTTGTTTTGAGGATTTTTGCATCAGTGTTCATGAGGATTACTGGCCTGTAGTTTTCTTTTATTCAACTGTCTTTGCCTCATTTTGCTAACATGGTGACGGAGGCCTCGTAAAATGGGTTTCGAAGTATTGCCTCCTTTCAGTTTCTGGAAGAGGTAGTGTAGAATCACTATTATTTAAATGTTTGGTAGAATTTTCCAGTGAAACCATTTGGGCCTTGAAATGGACTGAATGTATCCCCTCAAAATTCATGTGTTGACATCCTAACCCCTAATGTGATGACAGGAAGTGGAGCCTTTTGGAGGTAATTAAGTGATGATGATGGATCCCTCCTGATTGAGATTAGTCCCCTTATCAAAAGGATCCCAGAGAGCTCTCTTAAACTTTTCTGTCATGGGAGGACACAAGAAAATGGCAGTCTTTATTTTGGAAGAGGGTTCTTGCCAGAAACTGACCGTGCTGGCACACTGATGTCAGACTTGCAGCCTCAAGGAGTGTGAGAAATTTGTTTATAAACCACCCAGTCTATTGTACTGTATTATAGCAGCCCAAAATGAGTAAGACAAAAATTGGTACCAGAAGTGGGGTGTTAATGTAACAAATACCTAAAAATGTGGAAGTGGCTTTGGAATTGAATAATAGGTAAGGGCTGGGAGAGTTTTTAGGTGCATGCAAAAAATAAGGACATTAATGGTGATTTTGATGATGCTCAGAAAAGAAAGAGCTGAAAGAAAACTTCAATCTTAGAGAATATATTATTGACAGAATGTTGGTAGAAATACGGATGTTAAAGGCAGTACTGATGAGGTCTCGGATGGAAGTGAGAAACATGTTATTGGAAACTGGAGGAAAGGCAGTTGTTTTTATAAAGTGAAAAGAACTTGGTGAAATTATGTTCCGTGTAATGTTTTGTGGGAAGTAGAACTTGTGAGTAATGAAATTGAAGGTGTGGCTTGGCTCCTTCTGGCTGATTATAATAAAATGTAAGAAGAGAGAAATGACTTAACAATGGAATTTTTGAAACAGGTATTTGGAAAATTTTTAGCTGAATAGTTAATTGGTGTTAAAATGCTATTAAAGTGAGTGCATTGATGGGGCGCCTGGGTGGCTCAGGCGTTAAGTGTCTGCCTTCGGCTCAGCTCATGATCCCAGGGTCCTGGGATCGAGCTCCGCGGGAGGCCTGCTTCTCCCTCTCCCACTCCCCCTGCTTGTGTTCCCTCTCTCGCTGTGTCTCTCTCTGTCAAATAAATAAAATCTTAAAAAAAAAAAAAATAAAGTGAGGGCATTGATTGGGAAAGAATGGGATCCTGTAAGATGGCATGGGGACAAGTGGGAAGGCTCTGATGTAGCTGGGCCATTGAGCTCCTAAATTCTGAGTCTTCCTTACCAGTGGAAGCAGCCTCATCAGCAGAAGTGGCCTTTCCACTCCTCGTGGCAGTGGCATCCCCACCCACAGTGGCATCAGCCTTTATATTCCCATCTTACGGAATTAACTATGCATTGCCTAAAGAAACTGTAATGACCTCCGTTGAGGCAGTGGCCATGCAAGGCAATAGAAGCCCCCACAACCACCCCCTTTTGTTTGCAGACCTATCACTAGACTCAAGTCCTAGCAGGCTCCTAAAAGTGCAGTGCAGAGTGTGACCCATGAGGAAGGGGTGCTACAGTCAAAAAGAACTACTTGAGTTTTCTAACTTATACAGACAAATCCGGGGAACAAGTGTGGAAATGGATACAGTGTTTGGCATTATAGTGGAAGGAAGATGATTGGAAATTTGGGCAGTGAAATCTGGGGAAGAGATAGGTGGATAGACCTCTCTGAATCAGGGCAAAAAAATTGAAGATACCCATGTCCCATATAAATGGGAGACCTCAGCAAAGGATTTTAATAATCAAGTAGATGGAATGGCCTGTTCTGTGGCTAACGACTTTTTCCCCCAGCCACCCCTGTCATTGTCCAATGGGCTTGTGAACAAAATGGTCATTTTGGCAGGGATGAAGATTATGCCTGTGATCAGCAACATGGACTTCCACTCACCAAGGCTGACCTGGCTATGGCCATTGCTGAGTGCTCAATCTGCCAGCAACAGAAACAAACACTGAACTCCCCAGTATAGCACCATTCCCTGGAGTGTTGAGCCAGCTACCTGGAAGCAGGTTGGTTACATTAGACCATCATGGAAGAGGCAGCATCTTAATCTTACTAGAATAGAAACTCTGGATGTGGATTTACTTTCCCTACATGCAAAGCTGATAAAACTACCATCCATGGACTTACAGAATGCCGTATCCACTGTCATGGTATTCCTCACAGCATTACTTCTGATCAGGGAACTGACTTCACAGCAAAGTAAGTGCAATAGTGGGTCCATGCTGATGAAATTCACTGGTCATATGTTTCCCATCATCCTGAAGCAGTTGGCCTGGTAAAATGATGGAATGACACTTTGAAGACTCAGTTATAGCACCAGCTGGGTATCAAAACGTTGCAGGCTGAGGCAGCATTCTCTGGAAGTCTGTATATGCCCTGAATCAGCATCTGATATATGGTTGTTTCTCCAATATCCAAGATTCAGGGATATGGGGGTCAAGGAGTGGTGTGAGATAATAGAAAATACATATATTGGTCTTTGCTCCTGGTTCCTGGCACAGAGCTTCTAAAACTTGTAATTTCCCAAGTAATAACACTAGGAGCATCTCTTGTTCTAATACTTGGTCTTGGACCTGGTTGCTGACACAGGGCTCTTGAAACGTTTGTGATTTCCTGGGTGATAGAAGTGCCTTTTGTTCTCATGAGGCAACTCTGGGTGGGCTACTGGATGGCTTCCAGTTGAGGACTGGCCCCTGAAAAGACCAAACCATGATTAGATGCTTGGAATTTTCAGCCCAGCCCTTTTCCCTTCTCTTGCGAAGTGGGGAGGGCTGGAAATGGGGTTAATGATCCATTGTGCCTAAATGATGAAGCCTCCATAAAAATCCCCAAGCTATAGGGTTCAGAGGGCTTTTAGGTTGCAAACATATCCCCACCAAAAGTGTGATGCACCCTAATTCCATGGGAATGGAAGTTCTTGTGCTTGGGGTACTCTAAGACTTTACCCTATGTATCTCTTCATCTGGCTTTTCATCTGTATCCCTTATCATACCCTTTAATAAACTGGTAAATGTGTTTCCCTGAGTTCCATGAGTTACTCTAGCAAATTAATTGAAATGGAGGAGAAGGTCATAGGAACATTCAATTTGTAGCCAAATCGGACAGAAGTTGTGGGTAACTTGGACACCTACTACTTGCAGTTGGCATCTAAAGAGGGGAGCAGTATTATGGGACTGAACCTTTAGCCTGTGGTATGATACTGTCTCCAGGCAGATAGTGTTAGAATTGCGTTAAATTGTAATACATCCAGGTGGTGTGGAGAATTACTTGGGGAAAAGGCCCACACATTTGGTGATCAGAAGTGTCAAAAGTGAGTGTTCTGTATGAGTAGTAAAGGAGACAAAAAGGGAAGAAACACATAGTAGGGGAAAACTGTGGGTTTTCCTTTACAGGTGGAAATGGGAATAATACCACTCACTATTACCCCCGTTGACCCACTAGCAAAATTTTTGCTTCCTGTTCCCATGACTTGATGCCCTGCTGGCCTGGAGGTCTTAGATCCAGAAGGCAGACTGTTTCCATCAGGAGGCACAACAATAATTCCAGTGAACTGAAAGTTAATACTGCCACCCAGCCACTTTGGCTTCCTCATACCTCTGATTCAACAGGCAAAGAATAGAGTTACAGTGTTGGCTGGGGCCATTAATCCTGACTATTAAGGAGAAATTGGGCTACTCCTCCACAGTGGAGGTAAGGAAGAGTATGTGTGGAATACAGAAGATCCCTTAGGGTGTCTATTAGTATTACTATGGCCCTGTGATTAAGATCAGTGGCAAACAACAACCCTTTCCAGTCAGGACTACTGATGACCCAGACCCTTGAAGCATGAAGTTTATGTCACTCCACCAGGTAAAGAACCATGATCATGTGACCAGTTATAGAAATGAGGAATGTAATGTCGTGAGTATTCCTCATTTTGTTATGAACATGTGATTGCTTAGCCTTGTATTCTTCCCTTTCTTATTCCCTTATCATGTAGCTTTACATCATAGTATTCAAGCATTAACTTTATATAATATATTATTATTAATTTGCTGATAGATTTCTGTTTGGTATGTAATTTTATATCATCCTGCCTTGTCAAGGGGAGTAATCAACTGAGGCTTGAAAACTTCAATTTTTTATGTTCTATTATTTATTGGACAATTTCTTCCCTCATCATTGTTTCCAGTTGCCTGCTTCTGAAATACCTATATATGTGTATTATGTATAATACATATTTATAAATATATACTTACTATATGTAAATCTAGTATGTACAGAGACAGGAAAATGGCATAGAATACCATGCTATTATAATTATTGTTCCCTTTTTTTTTTAGATTTTATTTATTTGACAGAGACAGAGAGGGAACACAAGCAGGGGGAGTGGGAGAGGGAGAAGCAGGCTTCCCACTGAGCAGGGAGCCCGATGCGGGGCTCGATCCCAGGACCCTGGGATCATGACCTGAGCCGAAGGCAGACGCTTAACCGACTGAGCCACCCAGGCGTCCCTATTGTTGCTGTTTTAATGTCCTTTATATTTATTTTATTATTTTTTAAAGATTTTATTTATTTATTTGAGACAGAGAGGGAGAGAGAGAGCACATGAGTGGTGGGGAGGGGCAGAGGAGGAAGGAGAAGCAGACTCCCTGCTGAGCAAGGAACCCACCCTGGGGCTCAATCCCAGGACCCTGAGATCATGACCTGAGCTGAAGGCAGATGCTTAACCAACTGAGCTACCCAGGTGCCGCAAGTTTAGCTTTTCTAATAATGCATGTAGTAATTTCTCACCATGGTCTTAATTTTGCTTTTTTAATAATGGCTAGTGATACTGAGTATTATTTCATGTACTTATTTGTCATCCGCGAATCCTCTGCTGAAGTATCTCTTCATGCCTTTTGCCCATTTGCTAAGTATATTTTTTTGTTGTTTTTTTTTACTGTTGAGTTTAGGGTGATTTATGTATTCTAGATATGAGTCATTTGTTGAATTATCTGGATTTGTTGGATTTCTGGTTGGTATGCAGATATTCTCTCCCAGTCTATAGCTTTTCATTCATTTAATGGTGTCTTAACAGAGCAAACATTTTAAATATTAATGATATCCAATATATTCATTTTTTCTTTTTCATCATGTTTTTGGTGTCATGTGTGATGTCATGCCACTACCAAGAATTAGGTCAAAAATATCTTCTCATGTTATCTTCTAAAAATTTTATACTTTTACAGTTTACATTTAAATCTACTATTCTTATGAGTTAAATTTTGGACATGATGTGATTCAGGTAGAGATTATTTTGCCTATATATATCCAATTACTCCACCATTTGTTGAAAAGACTATCCATCTTCCATTGTATTGCTTTTGCATTTTTGTCAAAAACCTGTCAGCCAAACTTGTGTGGGGCTATTTCTTTATCCTCTGTTCTGTTCCATTGACTTATATATCCAGTCCTTGCCACTATCATACAGTTCATTATTAGCTATGTAGTTAACCTTAAAATTGGGTAGAGGCATTCCTCTCCAAATAAATTTTAGAATGTTTTATAAAAAGTCTTGCTGATATTTTGATAGGAATTGTGTTTAATTCTGTATATTAGTTTGGGAAGAACTGACGTTTGTACTATGTTGAACTTCCAATCTATGAACAAGGAGTATCTCTCCCTTTATTTAGATCTTTGATTCCTTTCATTAGTGTCATGTATTTTCCTGCACACAAGTGCCGTACCTGTTTTGATTTGCACCTAAGTATTTAATTCTCGAAGCAGTTGTATATGATATTGTATTTTTAATTTGTTTCCATGTGTTCATTGCTAGTAAATAAAAATACAATAGATTTTTGTGTGTTGATCCAGT